TAAATTCTCCTTCTCTTTGTTGACCTTTTTGCTCTAACTCTTTAATTATCTTATCTCTTTGACTTACTCTCTCCTTCCATTTTTTAAAATAAGTAAAACCTACTAAATGAGGATGAGTTTCGCTTTTCATCTCTTCTAAACCTTTAAAAGTGCTTAGTGATGATCAGGAGGAAAACCTCTGAAGTGAGATGACATAAACCCCGCTCGCAAGCAATCCAAATTTTAATTATCTGAGTTATGAACTGCCATTTCAAAGTGGGTTTAATATTTTTCTTTGAACTGGTACTAGCCACTCCGTTTTTCTCTTCTTTTTTTAGGATTCAGTTTGGACTTTTCAAATGAACTTACGGTAAGTTTTTATAGGTAGGCGGGTTAATTTTTCTTTTGAAACAGTACTAACCATTTTTTCTTTCTTCTTTTTTTTAGGAATCGGCTTGGATTTTTTCTCGAAATGGACTAGTGGTAAGTTTTTTATGGATGGGTTGTTAATTCTTTCTTTTGGAACGGTACTATCTTTCTTCTTTTTTTTAGGAATCAGCTTGGACTTTTTCTCGAAATGGATTAATGGTAAGTTTTTTATGGGTGGGTTGTTAATTAATTCTTTCTTTTGGAACGGTACTATCTTTCTTCTTTTTTTTAGGAATCAGCTTGGACTTTTTCTCGAAATAGACTAATCGTAAGTTTTTTATGGGTGGGTTGTTAATTAATTCTTTCTTTTGGAATGGTACTAACCATTTTTTTCTTATTTCTTTTTTTTAGGAATCGGCTTGGACTTTTTCTCGAAACAGATTTGTGGTAAGTTTTTTATGGGTGAGGTTGTTAATTCTTTCTTTTGGAACGGTACTAACCATTTTTTTTTTAGGAATCGGCTTGGACTTTTCTCGAAACGGATTCGTGGTAAGTTTTTTATGGATATGTTGTTAATTATTTCTTTTGAAACGGTACTAACCATTTTTTTCTTTCTTCTTTTTTTAGGAATCGGCTTGGACTTTCTCTCGAAACGGACTTGTGGTAAGTTTTTTATGAATGGGTTATTAATTCTTTCTTTTGGAACAGTACTAACTGTTTTTTCTTCTTTTTTTTAGGAATCGGCTTGGACTTTTCTCGAAACGGACTCGTGGTAAGTTTTTTATGGGTGTGTTGTTAATTATTTCTTTTGGAACGGTACTAACCATTTTTTTTTCTTCTTTTTTTTAGGAATTGGCTTGGACTTTCTCTCGAAACGGACTCGTGGTAAGTTTTATATGGATGGGTTGTTAATTCTTTCTTTTGGAACGGTACTATCTTTCTTCTTTTTTTTAGGAATCAGCTTGAACTTTCTTTCGTGGTAAGCTTTTATGGGTAGGTAGGATTCTTTCATTTAAAATAGTACTAACCGTTCTCTTTTCTTTCTTTTTAGAAATCAGCTTGGACTTTTTCTTATGATAAGCTTTTATGGGTAGGCGGGATTCTTTTATTTAGAATGATACTAACCATTCTTTTTTCTTTTTCTTTTTCTTTTAGAAATCGGCTTGGGCTTTCTTTCGAAACAGACTTGCAGTAAGTTTTTTATTGATGGACGGAGTTTTTCTTTTACTTTTATGAAATATATTAACGTTTCTTCATATGAGTTCTTTATTTTTATGGCTACGCAGTTTA